TCGATTGGTACCATAAACCAACTTTTTCTGAAATATTTGTAAACTACTATTCCAAACATAAAATGACAATCAAGATTAACATAATTAGAAATTTGAAAAATAGAGCTGTTGCACTCTCAAGTCCTAAATTCCATCACAAGAATGTTGCCTTGATTAGGGATTACTTGTTAAACAACAATTACTCTCTATCTTTAACTAACCAAACTTTGAATTATAAGTCAACAGACAGGGAGGTAACACGCAACACATACATTTATCATAAAATACCCTATGTGGAAGGTTTGTCACAACAAATAGCAAAAGTTGTATCTTCGGATAATATTAAAATAGTCTTCTCCAGTTCGAGCACTGTTGGAAGATTATTTTACACTAAAACTAAGTCTAAAACACCCACTGAATTAAATTCGAATATAATATATCAAATACCTTGCTCAGACTGTGAAAACAGCGAATATCAGAACACAAAAGAGACTCAGCTGAGACCAATATAACCAACCCCGCAGCATTGGTGGAACACCAAAGGATCACCAGCCATAACTTTGATTTTGGTAACATTAGAATTCTCGACCATCAGCCAAGACTAATTAAACGACTAATTAGTGAATCAATTTTCATAAAAACTAACAACTCTGTCAATTTTAGAAAAGACACGGAGAATCTGAGTGAAGCCTATAATAGCCTTATACAAAATAATAATATAAACAACTAAAATTAATTTCATATATACTAATGACTAAAAAATTAAGTTTTTACGAATACAAAAAATAAATTGTGAGTGTGTGGAATATTTCGTTTTCTTGTCAGCGAGACATTCTTAGCAGTCTTCCAGAAAATCTAAAACAGCCAGTCTAGTAATACACCTGCCTAGAGCAGCATGTTACGTTTGAGTAAATATGACACTGACTTCATAGGTGAGTCATTACATAATGAACGTATCTTCATGATTGCGTCTCTTCGAAACCTACTTTTTGTATCACCAATCGCTGTTTTGCGCCTTTTCAGACTTGAAATTTTTTTACCAACTTAGTTTCGTCCTTTGTTCAATGCTTGTTAGTCTTTTTTAATTTAAATCTTATTGACATGAGATTATTGTTTTGAGTGTGTTTTATAGTTTTGACCGCCTGATCGTTTTATTATACAGGGTTGCTCATTAGTGCGTCAAAGTGCGATATCTCAGTAAATATGAAGTTTACAAGAAAATTCGACCAACGAAAGTTTTTCACGTTTAAAAGGTCCACATTCTAAAATTACTTTCCAATATACAGGGTGCATCATAAACGTGTGGTAGTTACCAACTCTG